TTGGTGTTTGGGCTGCAGACCCAATAGCAGGAAATAGGCTGCAAGGATTGGGTCTAAGAGAGGCCCAAATAGCTATCAGATGCAACGCGATGCAGGTGCACTAATGCACTAGCTGCAAACTAGGATCCGGTGCATCGCGGGTGTAAGAACACCATAGCCCTCGGGCTAGTGTCACATGTTGGGCTGAGCCATGGTTTTAGGCCACATCAGATGAGCCCCGTTACCAAAAAAATAAAAAAAAATCCTTTTTTTTTTTTTTCCCTGTCATAGGCCGAGATGGATAGCCTAATTGGGCTTGGGGTTTTAGCCATAAGAAAACCCCAGCTTCATTGGGTGTGGTCACCGAGGACGAAGGCCCGCACCGCCGCTGCAGGCGATTGTGTTCTAGTCAAAAGAACTCGAAACGAGTTGTTGTGTTTGACATGGAACTGGGATGGTGTGACGGAGAAGGTCTCGACGTCCAAAAACCAAAGAAAAACATAGGATTCAATTTTGGGTTTTCGAAATCTAGGGAGATTCATACGAATCTCAATCAAAAACAATGTTAACGACGACTGTAGGTCGTCAGGGATGGTAGCCGTAGTGGCTAGGCATGGCTGCAGGCCATGCTTGTTATGCCGTGAAGGGGCGTCAGGGTTTTTGGGCTGGGTTCTAGAAGTTTGGAGCTTCGGGCTCAGGCTGTGGCTTGGGTCCCTAGAAATTATTTTTTTATTTTTTTTCTTTATTTCCGTATTATAATTCAATGCATATTGACAAATAATTTAATGCATGAGCAGATATAGGATGCAATTCATGGAAAATATCAAATTCACATAATTCAACAATTATGGATATAATGCATATACAATTTATGTAGAATCTAAAATTCAAAAAACATAAAGTTGGGTCGTGCATTATGGTGAATGTTCATGCTATCAGGGCTGCAAAAATATCGATATAAAAACCATTGTTTTGGAAGAACCTTATTGCGTGATGATATTTGTGAACTGGTTTGATGCAGAAAGCTTCCACGTCAGATTTCTAAGGACAATAGTAGAAGTGTGCGGATAACGTGTTATGGCCTATTTTATCTGACAAGGGAAGGGGGCCGGCAACATAGAGAGAGAAAATAGAGAGAGATGTGTTTGTAGGGTTGTGTAGAGGAATGTGTGTGTTATTCCCCCTACGCAGTGCCTTTATTTATAGTAATAAGAGAGAGAAGAAATCATTCTCCTCCAAGGAATACAAGTCCATATATGAAAGAATAACTATAATCAAATGCAATCTAGGATTTACACAATCACACTTAAACTAGAAGTTTACAACATATATATCCTACTAAAATCTATATTATTTTTTATCACTTAGATAATTTTGGTATTTAAGACATAGGCATGTTTGGAAGTGCTTTTAAAATGATTGAAAGCACTTTTGGCCAAGCACTTAAAGTGCTTTTCCACCATTTGCTAAGATTTTTACTAAGGATTGGTTTTAAAAACATTTCGCTTTCAATCATTTTTTTTATAGTAACGATAGTCGATTCCATTCAATGAAAAGAAATCGATAAAACAGCATGCAATCAAGCCATTTACAAGCAAAGCCCAAGTCAATTACAATAAGATAATAAAAAGTTCGAAATGAAATCTGGTGGTTCCTCAAATCATGAGTAGATGGTAGAGTCGTTGTGAAGGGAATAACGTGCTAGATGGCACGAACATTGGGGGAGCCAGCATGGGGTCATTGGTCGCCCTTGACCCCAACAACGTAAAAAACTCATGTACACTTGTTTGTGTGTTGTATTCAATGTATTAAAAAGTGAAGGCATGGGCAAGGCATTTCATGGATAGCCCCCCCTAGGCGAAAGCCTTGAGGCATGAGGCGAATCATCATGAGACCTAAAATTTTTTAATATAAGTCAGTGAAAATTAGGTCACTGAATTGATTTTTCGGTAAAATAAGTCCTTAAGTTCATTAAAAATTGCTAATTTCATCCTTACTATTATATTCAAAGTTATTTTATCCAATTTTTTGTTAATTAAATCACTTGACACACTTTAGAGTGTAATATCATCATTTTCTCTCCTATAAGCCCTTAACATTTCATATAGGTTGTAAATCTAATGTCTAAATTACCCTCTAAAGTTAACTCCATGCACTATTTCTTTATGGAAAATTACCAATCTACCCTCCAATGTGTCTCACATGCAAGTAACATGACTTAAATTGACGGAAAATTGAATATAGTAGCTTCAAATATAATATTAGGGATGTAATTGGCATACTTTTATAATTTCAAGGATTGATTTTTTTGAAAAAAAATAGTAGAGTGACCTAATTTTCACTCAGGTGATAATCTATGGACTAAATTAGCAGTTCACCTATATATATATAATATACAATTATATATAATAAATAAAAAATATAATACTTTGTAAAACAAATATTCACTGTTATTCAAAAATGCATAAGTCACAAACTCACATCACAAACAAGTTTAACAAAGCAATCAAATTAATCAACAAACAAACAAATAGAGTAGAAATCAGACATCTAGAATCTTAAGTAAGTGCATATATATGTGTGTGTGTGTGTGTGTGTGTGTGTGTGTATGTATATGAGAATTTTGAGTAATATTTGGTTAGGATATGTAGTCTTAAAAAAAGAAATAAGATCATAAAGTTTTTTTTCAAAAATAATAAAAGGTTAAATAATTAAAAACAAAAAGATGTTTACTTTTCTACTGGCAGAATATTCAGGAAAATATGCTTCTTTATCTTAAAAAAATAATAAGACCAAAAATTAAAAGATGTTTATCTATCTTGTAGATGAGAAAAAAATAATATAAAAATTAAAAAGTGAACATAAAAGAAGATAGTAAGGTAATAAATGTTAGAAAAGTAGGTTCATTTTAAACTTTAAAGAGAAATAATATAAATAAATAAAAAAAGAACAAAAACCCCTCACGATTCATCTTCTTTGATGGGAAGACAGACATCCTACAACTAGAAAATTTTAAATTTGAGCAACTCAAAAAGTAAAACAAGGACGCCCAGTTAACACCTCAGGCACGCCTTGGCCGTCCAAGCACGCCTTGACAAAGTTAGGCAAGTTTTTTGCCCACTCACAAAATAGAGGTGATTTTCCTCCCGCCCCCCTCCAAAGCCACCTAGGCGCTCCTTGGGGCGAGGTTTTTAAAATGCTGATTGTATTTCACCCCTATAAACAATTAAGGTAAACTAAATTACAAACTCCTCCTCCTACTTCTATTTTCTTATGTTATATTTGTCTTTCTTTTTTTTTTTTTTTTTTTTTTATGTGCGACTTTATTGTACGTACCATGTACTCGATGAATTATCCTAGTTGACAAGTCTTGGCAATCTTTAACATTACTCCACGGTATCATATCCACACTCAACAAGTGTCACATCCCGGCCCGGGGCGGATCATTTCCCGGGCCCGCTCCACCACCGTAGCACGATATTGTCTGCTTTAGGCTTACCATTCCCTCATAGTTTTGTTTTTGGGAACTCACGAGCAACTTCGCAGTAGGTCACCCATTATGGGATTGCTCTAGCCCCCTTCTCGCTTAACTTCGGAGTTCCTACGGAACCCGAAGCCAGTGAGCTCCCAAAAGGCCTCGTGCAAGGTAGGGATGAGAATATACATTTAAACTCCCCTAGGCGATATGGGATGTTACAATCCACCCCCCTTAGGGGCCCGATGTCCTCATCGGCACACCACGACCAGGGTTAGGCTCTGATGCCAATTTGTCACATCCCGGCCCGAGGCAGATCACTTCCCGGGCCCGCTCCACCACCGTAACACGATATTGTCCGCTTTAGGCTTACCATTCCCTCACGGTTTTGTTTTTGGGAACTCACGAGCAACTTCCCAGTGGGTCACCTATTATAGGATTGCTCTAGCCCCCTTCTCGCTTAACTTTGGAGTTCTTACGGAACCCGAAGCCAATGAGCTCCTAAAAGGCCTCGTGCTAGGTAGAGATGGAAATATACATTTAAGGATCACTCCCCTGGACGATGTGGGATGTCACAATCCACCCCCCTTAGGGGCCCAACTTCCTCGTTAGCACACCACGGCCAGGGTAAGGCTCTAATACCAAATTGTCACATCCCGGCCCGGGGCGGATCACTTCCCGGGCCCGCTCCACCACCGTAGCACGATATTATCCGCTTTGGGCTTACCATTCCCTCACGGTTTTGTTTTTGGGAACTCACGAGCAACCTCCCAGTGGGTCACCCATCATGGGATTGCTCTAGGCCCATTCTCGCTTAACTTCAGAGTTCCCATGGAACCCGAAGTCAGTGAGCTCCCAAAAGGCCTCGTGCTAGGTAAAGATGGGAATATACATTTAAGGATCACTCCCCTGGGTGATGTGGGATGTCACAACAAGCCTCTACAAATAATAGTAATTGTCGACATATATTGGCACAAACTTTTGACATATGTTGGCAGGTATTGGCAGGGTGCCTGCTAGGTGCTTGATGAAATAGCCCAATGAAACTTTTTAGCTGATATATGACCTCATTATTTGAAAATCCTGGCCAGACCACGGGTGAGCAATACAATTGGCTACACCACTAAGTGAGCAATACAATTGGCTTCACGACGAGTATGGTCAACTATAGCTCCAGTGATCTTGAGGAGCAAACCTTCGCATCATCCACAATATGCCTCACATCAGACATGTTAGAAGAACTTTTCTAAATGAGTCATAAATGAATTATGTTCTATTTTTTCTTTTCCTTTTTTTTTTTGTTTTTAGGAATACTAATGAAAAAAAAATTTAAAAATTTTGAGTTTTGATCAAAATAACAAAAAAATATTGTAAGTAAATAATACATGAGTGATTTTTTAAAATAAAAATATTTTTACCGTTAAAACTAAAAATATCAAGAGTGTTTCATTAGGATTTTTTTATTTTTTTTATTTTTTTTATTTTTTTTATTTTAAGGAACTCTTGTTACTCTACGAAGAAATTGTAATACCCCAAAGGGCCTATAGAAAATAATTTTCTTTTTCTTGGTGACTCTCTTGACAGCCAAGCAGCGAGCAGAGGGAAATTAACTACCGTGAGTTTGCACCAAATCTTTCCGCCTTTAACCTCCTTTGCATTACGCTTCGAATTGAACATCCGAATCCGAAGTTATTAACTTTCATGAGGCCCATACAGCTTCCGGAGCCGCCCGGTCCCAAACTGCGCACGCCGGAAATCTTCGAAGGCGGTGTGTACGGCGTCGTTAGGCGGGCCGTCGTGATTGGCAACGGCTCCCCGGGTTCGGAGAATCAGAGCATCGGCTTGGTTTGCGCTCTCGGCCTCGCTGATAAGCATGTCTTATATGTAAGTTACGTGATTAAACCTAATCATGGGCTTAATCCTTTTGATTTCTCCAAATTATGGTTATAATTTTGTATGCTAAACTACCCATTAAATATTTCGTACTAATTTTTGTGTGATGATTGTAATTTCAAGCTCAAGAACATATCGCAATTGTATGAATTTTAGTCTTTTACAACCTAAATGCATGTTTTACTAGGTTCTTATTAGAAATTAGTATACTTTTTGTTTGTTGAAATTATTTTAGTTGAAAGGAATATAAAGGTGTTGGCAACTTACTGAAGTATAATGTTTGATTACTCTAGCAGTTAGACAACGATGTTTTATTGGTGTCCAGTACACGAATCTGTTATAGGTTTATTTATTTGTTGCATACTACTTTTGAATGTGTTTCCACTGAAAAGCGGCCACGTTCTTCTTTGAATCTGTTTCCGTTCATTGTTTCCTGTTTTGTGGTTATGGGTTCTAGAGTGTTAGTTGAACATTGCTCTCTATGCTGAATTTCGTTAAAAGTTTAATAAGGCTTGGTTTTTGCGAACCTGAATGATTTGTTGTCGTTGTTTAATGTTATAAACTCAGTATTGCTATTCGACTTGGATGTTTGGCAATCCACAAGACCAGCCAGGTTACTTGTAATGGAGCGAGTTTAAATTAATTTTCTGAAAAGAAAAAATGCTGTCGACTTACATATGTTGGGGTCAGTGCCAGTTCAGAAGTTTTCCAGTACAAAGTTGGTATTCAATATCTGGTTTCATTAATTGGAAGTGAGGTTTAACCATCAATCCATTCGACCAAAAGGAAAACATACATGATCGCTTAAAGAATTATAACCATTCGAGACTAACAATGAACTGCAAAACATATGACATTCAATTTTTTGTCAATTAATCCTACTGGACGGCTGATTACAAAATGTGCCCCTTGTGTATTTCATCCTCAATATTTCATCCCCACTTTGACTTTAAACTAGTTTAGGCTGAAATAGATTTCTCTATCAAATCCAACTAGAATTGGTGTGAACCAATTACATTTTTCGAAAGCTACATTGTTCTTCAAGACGTATGAGATGTTTTATTGGTTATTGGCAGAGGGTTCTGTGACTTGCTTTGTTACTATTTGTCAATTTTTATAAGAATAATTAGTTGGTCTTTGATGTATTGGTGTCTTCATCAAAGGTGGTAGCCATAGCAACTAGAAAAGGTTTTCGTTTTTAGATTACTTGTGTCTTGTGTTTGGAGGTCATCCTTGTGATTGCTTGTTACAGTACCCTTCTTGCAGTCAAGAAATTATTGCTTCTAATACGCGTTTGAAGCTTAATTTTATTATAAATTTTGCAAGTTTCAATTAATAATTTGAGCATGCAATATGCAAGTTAACTATATCTCCTTTGTGATGCAAATGTCTGAATTATTATGTTTCATTGTTACTTTCTTCTTGTTTTTATATTATGCATGTGATTCCCTAACTACTTTGCGATTTGAAAAATACTATTAATATTACAAGTTGCAACAAATTATTGTCTGGAAACACGGTGTTAACATCACTGTAACCTTTTGTATCCCCGAATTTATTCTCACATCAGTTTCACTTTTTGACTCTGTTTATCTTTTAATTTTGACAATGTTATGCAGCGGGTTACAAGGCCGAAAGGAGGATTGAATGAGTGGCTTCACTGGCTCCCAGTTTCTCTTCACAAAAATTTATATTACATTGTAAGACAGATCTGTATTTTATTAAAGTATCGGGGGCAGAATGTTTTGCCTCAACCTGCAGAAAATGGTGGCAGTGTGGGGTTGAAATGTGTTTTAGAAGCTGATGTCCAGCAGATTGTGACAATGGTTCGTCAGAATTTTGAAAAGTAAATATTTCTTCTCCTCTTTCACAGTTCACTGTTAGTTATAGGAAGTGTATTCTTCAATTGTTTGCCTAAATAATGTATTCATCGGCATGAGTTGGTTGAGTGGACCTCAGGTTTGCTTCCACGCGGTCTGGGGTTAAATTCCTTAGGGAACCTATTAGCTATTTTCTGGAGTTTCCTGTGTCCAAAAGATTGTACGGTTGCTGGGGGCATAGTTTTGATTCTGAGTCAGCAATGCGGTTTGGGAGATTTCTGGGTAGCCTAAAAAAAAACAAAAGCAAAAATCAAAAAGTTTATTCAGGAAATACACTTGCTAATATCCAGAATGGCATTTGCCTCTTAAAATTTAGAATGTGGTGCTTGACTTGATACCTGTCTAACTTTTGGTACTCATTCTTTTCTTTTTCAGGGATGGACCTATGTTGGTGGTAGCTTCTGGAAGGGATACCATTTCTGTTGCAAGTTCTATTAAACAACTTGCATCTGACAATGTATTTGTTGTTCAGGTTTGTCAATGGGACCTTGTTTTTCCTGTATCAGTTATTAGCTATATATTATATTCCGAAATGAATTTGGACTTGATTTTTTTATTAAGTTACATGGTTTAGCGGTAAATGCAGAAATGACAATGAATGAATATGTCACAATGTTTATATTTATTGTGACAGTACACTTGCAGTATCCTGTTGCACTAATGATTTCATGTACGTTTTGCTTGAGTTTAGGTCAACTTGAGATAGTTTCTGGATATTTTACTTTCGAGTTTTATTTTTGTGGTTAAAGTAGTTTGGAAGTGTGGTTTTTATTTTTTAACAAAGAACAACCTTCTTGGTGGTGATTATATATGGTCATCCATTATATTTGTTTTCAACATTTCCTTCTACCTTTCCTATAGTTTTCTTGGCTTTACCAGGCCTTTGAATTATGTAGCAATGGCCACTTTGAATTTATATCTGTATGCTGTTTCTTCATCAGACTGATGCTTGTTATTATGGAAAACACTACTACTGCTACTCGCTGCCTTTTGCACCTAATTCTGTATGAGATTTTTGGTCCCCGATATACTGTTACTGTTGTAATGGATAAAAAAGGGTAATTTAAGATTTTAGATTGAATATCTGGCTTTCGAAATCTATGTATATCATGGTTTCCCTGACTTCACGACTTACTTTTGGCCTGTGCATTCTAAGTGGTTTTTACACATCTTCTCAACTTCTCAACCTTACAGGATCTAAACTGTACGATGTTATTGTTTTGATTGAGTGAGTAGTTTTGGGTATATGAGTACACAAATGGGTTTGGAATTGACCCTTTTCTTTGTTTATTGGTTAGTGTCAGATTTCAGTACTCTTTGATTTGTCTTTAGGGTCATATTCTCTCATTGATTTCATGAAATTAGTATCTCCATTTCTGTTATAAATTTTCAATTGATTTCATCAAGTATGTTATGAATTTGCTTGAGTATGCCTTTGCTCATCTGTTTTGCAATGAGGGTTTAGTTTTTGGAAGTGCACAATTTTCTCTTCAAAAGAAGTGCACAATTTTCTCTTTATTCATTGCTAAGGTTGGAGAGATCTTTGGAATGGATGCCTCTTTAGTACAGTTATGGAAATCATTTGCTTGCTTGCCTAGAAAGGACTTTTAGTCTGTGACTAGGTTCATAATTTTCAGTAGCTCAACAATCCAATCTTCTTTTCTTTTGGTGGCTGCGGCCGTTTTTGCCATGTCATTTGAATACCCAAAATGTTCATTATCTTCTAATTTTTATTGACACCACCATTTTCCATCTGTTTCGCAGATACTACATCCCAGGTTGCATCTAAATAGATTTGACTTGGTGATTACCCCTAAGCATGATTACTATCCTTTGACACGTGAAGCACAAAAGCAGGTTCCTCATTTTATTCATAGGTGGATAACTCCACGTGAACCTCCTGACAGTCATGTGGTATGTATGATGATTGATGACTTTGTTATATGCATGCATTTCATATATTTAAGAAACTTTAACCTTGTTTAATATCAACTGCTCCCAGTACTTCGAAACTGGAGGCTATCTTAATTTCCTTCCCCTCCCTCTCCCCCTTCCCCCTCTCTCCCCTCCTCCAACATATGACATACTAAAAACTTCTAAAATCAGGTTCTCACTGTTGGAGCTTTACATCAAGTTGATGCTGGTGCACTTCGTAATGCAGCTAGTGCATGGCGTGATGAGTTTGCACCTTTGCTGAAACCCTTACTTGTTGTGAACATTGGTGGCCCTACAGGTAATTTTTGATATAATCTGAATCTTTGTTGCTTAATGGTTTATGGGATTGATATATAAGTATTTGAGTACTTGATATATAATGTTTTGATATAATCTGAATCCTTGTTGCTTAATGGTTTATGGGATTGATATATAAGTATTTGAGTACCACATCATGTTTGATATATAATGCCTGCTTCATGTTAGGTTAGATTAAGCTCTGTATGCGGGGCAGCTGGTAGACTATTAGTGTTTGGATGTGATGCTTTTCTTTCTCCTTTCTTTTGTTCTTTTATGTATTACATGTGTTACTAAAAAGGGGGACTAGAATGGGTGCTCAGTATACATGGTGTTTTGATTTGTAAGTGTAGTATATCTATGAACTTTAAGGACCTGTACTACCTGTAGTTCTAGCATTGGAACAATCAAAGCGAAGACAAAATATATCTCTAAAGGTTACGACAGTAACTTTCTTGTCCTAGAAATACATCTATTCCTCTCCTTCGAAAGGGTCCACAACACTATGTAAGGAGGAGATTGCCAAGTCAATGGCCCAATTTTGTTACAAGAACACCCTTGCCAACAACACTCAACACCGAAGGGCTAACAAAAAAGGCACTATGCACTGGATACAAAAAATTAACTAACAATCGATACTTATCCGTTAATTTCTTTTGGGATTTTCCTTTATCAACTAGTTTTTTATTAGATGTATTGTCTAAGCCAATAATCAGACTCTGGAAGTCTATACCAATTCATTATTTTTCGTATAGACATAGTATGAAATGTGGCAATAACCTGATACTGGCACGTGTCTTTCAATGTCACCAAACGAGCATTTAGTTATTCTGGAAAAACTTTGGTTCAAATTATTTGTGTTCTTATTTATGCACAAGTTCGTGCCATCCTGCCAGCAAATGTTGTTTTGGAGGTCGGGATTTCTTTAGAAGAATGCATTCCCTTTGACAAAGGGAGTGACTTGTGTTGCATGGTATACCCTTTTGTTTTGTGTAATATCACTGACCTAGATTTGAATCCAAGTTTATACTACGATGGATAATGGAATTTGTGTCTTTTTTTTGTAATTTGTTTGAATCTCGAGTTGAAATCATTATGGCCTAGTAAAGGGAATGTAGGAAATCTGAAAATGTTTTATGTTTTTTTAATGTTAAATAGATTTTTGTTGCACGTTAGTGTTCAAGATTTAGTAGAGAGATGATTACTTTGAGGTGTATTAGATCATTCATTTTCTGAGTTTTCTGAGATGTTTGGAACTATCTACGTTGTTATTTTTGTTGCAGTAGTCCACTTATTCCAGTTGGGGCTTGTATGATTTGTATCCTTTTTTTTCATTTAATAGGCAATTGTCGTTATGGTGTGGACCTTGCAAAGCAATTGACAACCAACCTGCTCAGTGTTCTTCCTAGCTGTGGGAGTATCAGAATATGTTTCTCTAATAAGACTCCTGAAAAGGTATTGCTACAGATATACAAGTTCTTACTTTGGTTTTTTGTGATACTCAATTTTTCCTTTTTGCTCGTCAGGTATCTAATGTTATAGCGAAAGGGCTTGGCGGTAATCCAAAAGTTTATATCTGGGATGGCCAAGGTATCATGTGACTCAAAAACAATTTTCAAGTTTTAGGCCTTAAAAACGTGTTTGGTAGGACGATTTGCAAAAATTGAACTCAAGACTAACTAAAAAATATAGTCTATTCTCTAAAAATATAAACAGTGAGTTTTTAGAGTTTTTAAACTTAAACTTACTCCTTTCTTTTTCTCTCACTCCAAATCTCTCTTTTCTTCTTTCTCTCTCTTCTTTTTTTTTTATTTTTTTTACCTTTATCGTCTCTCCTCCAATCTGCTCTCTTCATTCTCTTAGTTCTTTCTCTCACTCGTCTTCCTCTCTTTCTCGTCGGATCCTCTGTCTTCTTTCTCTTTCCTTCAATCATCTCTTATTTTCTTTCCTCCTCTCTCCTCTTTCTCCTTCTCCTGCGACCCCCCTCTTTTTAGTTCTCTTTGTCTAGTTTAAGTCGTAAGATATAAAAAATTTAAATCGCAAACCAATCAAGTTTTTGAGTCTTAAAGAAAATTATTTTCAAGAAATGTTCTTAAGAAATGTTTTGAGAAATGATAACAATTTTCAAATAGGATACCAAACAGGCCCTTAACTTTTTCTGAGTTTCAGGTCGTTTTTAACTTTGATATGAATTGGGCTTTTTGTGCTGTACTGATGAGTATTTTGGTCTCCAGAGCCAAACCCACACATGGGCCATCTAGCCTGGGCCGATGCATTTGTTGTCACTGCAGATTCTGTCAGTATGATAAGCGAGGTTTGCAGCACTGGGTATGATTGAGGAAATTATGTCTGTATTCATGATATTTTCTTTAATGTATTCTTTATTTAAGCATTTTAATTTTGTCTGTCCATATTTCTAGGAAGCCTGTCTATATTATGGGAGCTGAGCGATGTACTTGGAAGTTCTCAGAGTTCCATAAATCACTTAAGGATCGAGGAGTAGTTCGGCCATTCACAGGTTCTGAGAATGTAAGTAAAAACCAATTTGTTTCCATAACTCTTCCATACAAGGTAGCAGATTATAGAGGATGCCCTTCTTAGGATTGCATTATTCGTTCATCATTCTCTGTCAACATAGATGCTAATAGAATAAATTGACAGACAACATTGGGAAATAAAAGAGACTGGGAGTACCGAGGAGGAGAGGTCATTTGTTTTTTTTCCCTTGTAAACACTCACAGACACACACACACTCTCTGTAGAACTGCTACAATAAAATTGCTTTGTTATCCATTCCAAAGGATACCAAAACTGAAGGAAATATTCTTGCTTGCACACATTGTAATGGCGGATTTTGTCATGCAATTCGAGGATAAGGTTTTTTCTCTTTCTTTGGAAGGTTTATGGGCCATTAATAGTTTTAAAGGTGGTTCTTCCAAGTTTTCGTTTCTTGATGGAATCACAAATGTCTGACTTCAGTTTGCTAATAATGATAATATATCCATTTGGAATGGTTGGAACTTCCGTATATTTTGACAAACCTTCCATATATTAACTTCTTTGTGCTTTTCTTTTTCTTGATTCTAACCGCATTCTCATTTATTCTTGATCACCATCTTTACCGAATGAATATTGGTCTCAAGTATACTTCTGGCTTTCTCTATCTTACGATCTTTGTTGCTTTGTATATTGACAGATTTCAGAGAGCTGGAGTTACCCTCCGCTCAATGAAACCGCAGAAGCAGCCAGTCAAGTGCATAAGGCACTTGCAGAGCGTGGATGGAGATTGCGACCATAGCAAGTGAGTTGATAACCATTGTTACTTGTAGACACACTCAAATGTTATGTTGAAAGACACCCATTGCAAGTTAAGCTTTTTGTGATAGCACGTTTAGGAATGACAGCTAGGCTGTTGTAGCTCTTATCTTTGATTCTTCCCCTTCCGGGGGGTCTTGAGATAGAATAAAGGCTTTCTCTAATTCTGCGGCTTGTAAATTACGAAGAGGGGCGAGCGTTTCTTTTGTCTAAAAGCGGGATGGTTCTTGTTCGAAAAATAATTCATTTGTAATTTAAAGTGGTTTTCTAGATTCTGTTTGATATTATCGAATTGGCCTTTGTAAACCAGTTTTCATGTAAGTCTTTTGAGATTGGACTTCGATTTGGCACAGTGACGGTCTGTTTGCTTCACCCATCACACCCAAGATTGAAAACGAACCAAATCAAATTGATTTGGTTCGTTTAAGTTATGTTCAATCAATTTCATTTGGGTTGTCCAGCTTCGCTCCCCAATCCATCAACGATGTTAAACATAAAGAGTGGATGACGGGTTGGAGGCGCGGAGGACAGGGTTGAGGCGTGGATGGAGGTTGCGACGTCGCAAAGGAGACGAGGGATGTTGAGATTGTGATGGAGGAGAGTGAGATCGTGAGGGAGATCAGGACTCTAGGAAGGTAAAGGTCGTTCATAAGGAGGAAGATAACCTTAGACGACATAATTTCCAATTGTTTCGTAACAAAAAGGAAGTCAAGAAGTAAGACGATGATTTGTTGGAGGGATTTGTTATAAACGCTTCAAAAATATTATCATAAATGATGATATTTCATTATCTCATTGCTGCTTAATCATCCCACCAATAATTTGATTCATCATCCAATATACGAACATATATACTAGTAATTAAGTAGGGATTATACTCACAGCATGATCATAAATATCAAACTTAATGCTTTAGCTAGGTTAATCTTCATAATTAAACACTTTGATTAGCATTTGCTCATGATGTTGCTTAATTAGTGGAGCAAGTGAGCTTTTCGGCAACAACTCCTGTTCCTCTATTCATCTCCCAATTAAAAACAACATTAAAACTAACACATTAATTAATCACTGCATATCCCTATATAAACCCCATCCCAGCATTCCCTTGATCACGAAAAACTAATTCCATAACATGGACTCTAAAAAGAATGGTGAAACAGTAGCAATCAGTACCGATGAGAAGGCGAATTACGGTGCAGAAGGCAAGACTGCTGAAGTTGCTCCTCCTCCTGCTGTGGTCACCACAAAAGCTACCAAAATCCAGAATATGGGAGGAGGATGGAGAAAGGGTTTGGCAATCATAGACTTTGTGCTGCAGCTTGGTGCCGGTTCAGCTGCTCTTGCTGCTGCTTACATTACGGGGAATACCGAACAGATTCTTCCCTTCTTCACGCAGTTCTTCCAGTTCCATGCTCAGGATAATGATCTTCCAACTTTGACGTACGAAACATATATATACGCTTAGTTTAAATTTTGAAATTTTCTTTTGAGCAAACAAATTAGTAGTGTGTTTGATTAGGGTTTTGATGGATTCCTTGATATATATGGGCAGGTTTTTTGTGGCTGCGAATGCAGTAGCTGTGGGATACATATATAGCCCTCTCCTTGCCCTTCTCTATAATCTGCATTATTCGACCTCATGCAATAGGGCTAAGGCTACTGCTCGTTATCCTTGACACAGTAATATGACTAACAAATTCTACTATTCCATACCCACATGGCATACTGATGAGTCCCCTTTTTTATTTCTTTGTTGTGATTGACGAGTGTATATTCGTTCAAATTGTAACACGTGTCAAATATTGTTAGTATTTAAATTTTTTAAATCTAAATCTGAGACTAATTAGTATACGCATAGTAATCTGAGTTGATTACACACTATATATACACTACATCAACATGTCACGTGATTCATCCTTTTAAACCTAACTAATAATTTTTTTATCTATTAAAGAAATAACGCTCTAGAGACGATCAGTTACATGTATATGGGAAATCATAAGTAAACTCTTTTTCTCCACACACAGACAACACACCCATGTTGGATCATATCCATTATATTTGTTTGATCAACCAATTGCCATGAATAAAGAAGGATATGTCGTGTGTGAGAGACTAAAATGAATATGTGAAAATCAGCTACCATGGTATATATCGCAACTCTATCGTTAAAGAGCTCCCCGTTTTCTCTTTCCTTAATTATGTATACGTTGATCTATATATATTGACTTACTGAAAACATTGCAAAAACTATTCCTTAAATGCTTTGCAGGTGATGGTTGCTCTAATCATAGCAGCAGATGGTGCTTCATCTGCAATTGTGTACTTGGCGCATAACGGGAACATGAACGCAAACTGGCTTGCTATTTACAGGCAATACAACGACTTCTGCCAGGCACTCAGTGGGGCTCTTGTGGCTTCACTTGTCGCAGCAGTCTTTTTTGTGTTTCTGGTTGTGAATTCTACTTTTTCTCTTAAAAGAAAATGAGAAATTAAGGAGCTTAATTACTGTATAATGGTATTGTTAACACTTCTAAATTTCAGACATGCATGTTGTCCATTGTGTATATTATTAATTCCATTAAAATTAGGGTGAATGTAAACTGATATAAGTAATGATAGATTTGTGTGGATTGGCTTCAAGACATATATGCTAGCTAAAAGTAGTTTTTTGTTCGTTCGTTTTGTTTTTCTTTCTTTATTTCCCTTATTTTTGAGAATCTTTCATGCTAATTAACAATTCTCGTACTAAAGAATTCTAAAATCATTTTATATAATTTTCTAAAATTTATGATGATTTTTGTTTGATTAACCTAATAAAATTTAAGTTTCAAACCCGGAGCATGTGACATATAGCAATCTACTACAAACACTAACCGTGTAGGTGAATTGTTATCTTGTGGTGGTGGGGTGGTGATGGCAACGATGGTTGTAACTTGTAAGGTGGGGGTTCTGGCAATGTTGGGGATTGCTAACCATGGACATATGGTGGTGGTGGTACTAGTAATGGTGTGTTGTGATCTTGTTATGGTGGTGACGATGATGGTGGTGGTCATGGACAATGTGGCAATGATGGTAGTCGTGGCAGCAACGATAATAAGGGTAGACATATGTAGTTGGGTTTTTTTAATTTAAACTCTTACTCATGAATTTTAGAAAGAAAAAGGCTTTTTATATTAGCACCCCACAAAATGTTGAATGCACCCCACATTAAAATTTAATATTAAATAACTTATTTACCCCGCTATGCAATGACAATTTTGACCTTATTAGGTTTAAAAAAAATAAAAAATTTCTAAATGCACCCCAAATCACTATTAAAACGCCTTCCACCATCCATTGTTGAACGAAATCCTAACCAATGAAACTACACACATGTTGATTGAGAAAAGTTATTTTTGACGAATGGAACACTAAATTGATGTACCTTCCACTTGTATTGAGAGAAGGTAATTTTGAAAGTCTAATGGAATCATTTGGTGCCAATCCCCATCAAATTTGTTGGTTCTTTTATGTTATTTGTATTAGAAAGATGAAGACCTAGTTCTTCAATATATGAATGACAGCATATACCTGGGAAAACCCGCCTTGTCATCCCAAAGAGAAAAGTTTAGCAATTAAGAAGGGCAACATTTTCTATGGCCACCCTTGAGAAAAAGGGTAGCAACTATAGAAATCTATTTCAATTGAATGTTAGACAGTGTCAAAGAATGTGAAATGCAATTAAAAGACACATAACCCTCTAACCAAGAGAAATCGAAGAAAATGTTCGCATTCAACAAGAAAGGGCATTCTTTAAGTCATTAGAAATCGAGACCCAAAACAATTCCCAATACTTATCCTTTATTTTTTTAATTCAGTCTCCAAATGTATGCTTAAACATCATGGTATTTCTTTCTAGACAAACCATCCAGAACATTACCATTGCACCAGTTCCATAAAACTCTTACCTTTTTCTCTCCATTATTGAAAAAGTTCAAATGAATCTAAACATTTTTCATATCATTCATTTTGAAATCATTCGGCAAACTAAAAGTTCAAATGTTTAGATTCAGTCCCTGAGTGAAAAAGTAAATGCGAGGTGTATTAAGTATGTAGGGTTTATTCAATAATTTGTGGGGTGTTAATATAATAAGCCTTAAATTATATAGGAATTCATTCAATTTTTTTTTGGGTTTTTTTAACTTTAATTCTTCAAGAAGATTAAAATTTAAAATAAATCTGGTGTTAGATTACATATTGATTATAATCCCTTGATGTGTCCTTAATTCAAAATAATTAATGTGCATTTTATTTAATGTCTCCCATTAAATATTTAAATTTATTAATATACAAATTTGAATTCATTTTTTGACCAAAAAAGAGTTTTTAATTTATTAATTTTATTTAACATCTTCAAACTTGAAAAATTCAATTAATGTACCTAAATATTAGTACCGAAATGTGTGTACCAAAATGTATTATATTGAACTAATGTATTTAAATGTTAGTACCTAAATGTATGTACCAAAATATATGCACCGAAATGTATTATATTAAATTAATGTACCTGAATGTGTGTACCGAAATGTTAGTACCTAAATGTATTATATTGAATTAATGTACCTAAATATTTGTATCGAAATGTATGTACCGAAATGTGTGTACGTAAATTTATGCTCCGAAATGTATTATAATGAATTTAATGTACCTAAATGAAGAAGACAAAGTACATTGAAAATATATTGTATAACAAAAATTAGTTTATCTAAATGTTTACAACAAAATATATTACGATAAATGAAATGAAAATTATAATTATAATGAAATAAAATTAATACATTAAAAATTTGGAAGAAAAAGAGAAATAGTTAAAAAATCAAAATATAATTAATAAATGAGGTGATTAATGTATTAAGGGACTAAAATTAGATTTTGATTTTACACATGGTTTTAATCTAAAAATCATCTTTGCCAAGAATATATATATATATATATATATATATATATATTATCACACGAAATTTATAAATCTTTAATTAATAATAAATGCCCTTCTCTCAAGAAATACCAAGAAATGACCTTCATTTCAAATTCACTCTTATATATTCGAAAATCTTATTGATCTCTTCAGGAGTTCCAATGAATTTCATATTATCAACATATACCACAATTGCAAACCCATAATTTAAATTTTCCTAGTCAAAATTTCATTAAGACAATTATACCACGTCCTAATTGATGGAGTACATGTTCTATGATTGCGTAGTTGTTTTCGACGAATTTAGTCATTTTGGCACTTTCATATAAGTATTGGCATCTAATTCCGCATATAAGTGTGTTGTGATGATGTCCATAAGACGCATGTCTAGTTTTTTCTAAAACTACAATACTTATTAACTAACGAATAACAAGAGAATATTGTTGAAGGGCTTTCCTATTGGCTCGTTAGACCACCACCTGTTATACTGCTAAAGTTTCGTTGGATGATATTTGCCTCCCAAGAAGGTTTGGGTCTTTGAAGGTTGCATTAGTGGAATAAAGTTCTGATGTGTAGACATGTTTGCCTTCTTTGTAAAGGTGACAATAATTTGTGGGTTAATTGGGTATCTATGTATCATCTTATGAGTAAATGCTTCGGGACTAGTATTCCTTCTCAATCTTGCTCTAGGTCAAGCTGTAGTTGACAGTAATATGAGTTGAATATCAGAGTGTGCGACGAACAAGATTACAAAATAATAAGAATGTTATTAAACAAACAGAATGTCAATACAGAGCCTGACTTACTTATCAAACTAAATTACAAGCTATAATTATAGAAAACTAAACCTAAGAAATCCTAACTCGGATGGGCTAGGCCCAAATCCTAAATTAAGAAGCAGAACTCAAATACTAAAATAAACATAAATACTAATATTTTCCAACAATATGAAAGTGAGTAGCATTGTAAACGATGTTCGATGAATACTTTTGAGGCGAGCCTTGGAATCAGAATTTTCATCAACAATATTCTTAATGTCAACTCTCGTGATAAAGTGAGGCGGCTCTGATAAAGTAACGGTATGTTCTTCACTTGGTCGTCTTGGCAACAAAGAGCCTCTGAACCTAAAGTTTCTTGGTCTAATCCGGCATGGTTCAATCAAAATGATCCTAGTGAGGCCTTTGTTCTTTGGCTTGTTACTACAGATATAATTCATGTTTACATCTTCAACATTGATCAAAGGTGTCCTTTGTAACTCTTAATTTGAATCCCACCAGCACCTCTTATTACTTTAGTCTAAAGTAAGGGGAACGCACTGTGCAATTTTGGCTTAATTTCCCTTTATTTACGAGTTTGCCACGGGGCTGAGGGGGTAAGGGCATTGTGCAATTTTGGCCCAATTTCACTTTATTTAAGAGTTTGCCACCGAGCTGATTTCAGCCTAAATTTTGCTTTATTTACAAGATTGCCATTGGGCTTAAGAATGGGTCTTCACTCTTTGAGGCTTTTGACTCAGGGGGAGAGAGGGAAGGGCGATAGAAGGGTTGAGAGGGAGACGTTCGTCGGGATTTCGAGGAGAGGATTTTCGGGAGAAACGTGTGTTTAGGTTTCGGGGATGGGAGGCCATGCTGCTACTTTTGATCCACGAGTATGTGAGTCGTTGCTTCAGCCAAAACAGGTGCTCTCTCCATTTTTCATCTCTTCCATACTCAAACCCTAGGCGTTCCACCTCTCTCTCCCAGACATAAGCAAACTCCATCTGAAGGCTAAAGAATCCAAAGGTAAATCCTTCGAACTCTTCGATTATGAACATCTGAAAGCCAAAGAATCTAAAGGTGCTCTCTCCATTAATTTCAATCGTCTTTTTCCCCTTATTTCTTCTTCCTTTGCTTCGTTTTTTCTGCTGCTTCTTCTTCTTCTTCTTCCCCCTTTTGGTTCCCCGCTCTCTTTCTTTATTTTTTCTAATATTTTCTC